CCCCCCACCTTTCCGCCCGCCGCTCCTGCCCGGTGTCTGGGCACCTGTGCCCAGGAGGCCGTGACCGCCCTGCTGCCCTGACGGCCAGCCCCACAAGCTCCCGCCGCCTTGCGACGGCCTCCCCGAGGCCCGGGAGTGAGAGAGCCTTTCCGGCCTGGCTCTCTACCCCCAGCCCCAGGCTTACAGCTGAAGGGCGGGAAAGACGGGCAGAGCGTGGGTGGCCAGCAGCCTCCACCGACCACTGCAGCCCCTCCTGCCCGCCCCTGCCCAGGAGAGCGGCTCAAAGCGGCAGCGAGGCCTCCCTGCGGTCTCAGGCGTCTTGGCTGGTGCCCAGTTACAGGGTCACCCTCTGCCCCCTTCTCCCCACAGAGGCACGGGAGGGGCAGAGGCCTGGCTGCCCAGCCGGCGCCACCTGCCTCTCAGATGGGAGCTTCTAGGCGCTGGCCGCTCAGCCGTGCCCTGGCCCCCACGAGGGACAGCTTGGCCCAAGACGCTCGGCTCAGCCAGGCCTCTGGGAATCTGAAGCGAGTGCCCCACCCCCACCCCCAGGCCTGGGGGGCCCTGCAGAGAGGTCCCTCTCCCCACCTCCTCCGGCTCCCTGTCCCCAGCATCTCTGGGTGGGTCCCCAGGGAAGCAGCCCCCCCAAATTCACGGTGGTTACCTCGCTTCTCAACATCTGTGACCCCTGTCTTTATGGTGGGAATATTTTAATGACCCTGGAGATTTTTTCCCATAGAAGATCCCCTGTCCCGCTGTTTACACTATAAATACTCTCCCATGCCGCCACCTAGGCTTCGGAAGCATCTTTGTCCTTCTGAGTGGGCAGAAGTATCCCGAGGACTGAAACAGGGTTGGCTGACGGGCTGCACGAGGCAGCTGCTGAGCCTTCGAGATCTCGCGAGCCACATGGTTCGCCCCTGGCACACGGGAGCCGCCGTGGCCAGCAGCTAAGGCGGAGACCGGCGTGGCTGTGTTCCAGGAAATTTTATTTGCAAGCGTGGAAGTAGTGTGCTGACCCCAGAACCAGGAGAACCGTAAGAGCAGCCTTAGCATTGCATGAATGACGGGCTTATCCAGGGCCGGCACACCCCAGCCCCCAGGCAGCCCCGGAGTCATGGGGGGCCCTGGCTCTATTGACAGCCCCCGCCAGGAGCACCCCCTGCAGGCAGGCGGCCCGGCCCAGGCCCCAGGGGCGCGCCTCCTGCAGAAGCACCTTGAGGAAGGCCCCCCTCCCCCTCCAGCCCCCCCCCAAGGAAATACAGGCCCTTCCCCCCCCGCGGCGGGGGCCCCCATTCCAGCCTGCTCGGGAAGCCACCTGCAGACCATGTTCCAGAAGGGTCCGTGGCTCGGGTGGGTCCTAGACGCCAGGGCCTCGCTCCAAAGCCAGCCACCCGCAGGCCGGCCCCGCCCTACGCTGTAAGGAGCCTCCGGAGACGGTGGTGGGGTGTGGGGAGCCGGGCACAGAGCCCTGGCTCCAGAAATGGGCCAGAAAAGAAAACGGGGAGCGCTGGGCTCCCGCTGCCCGCGGACGGAGAATGTCGCACAAGGGGAGGTGGAGAGGCTGATTACAGCTGGGGGGGCCCAGCCTCCCCAAGGCCTTTGCAGGTATCTGTTGTGCTGTGGGCCTGAGCTTGTCCAGGGCTGTGGGCCAGGCTCGGGCAGGAGCCTGCCAGGGCGCGGCCTGGGGGACAGCAGTGCCGGGCAGGGGCCGTACCTGCTGACGGCTCAGCCCTCGCAGCCCGTCCTTGGGCCGCGCCCCCACCCGTCCTTGCTCGGTGACTTGGTGGCCCCGTAGCCCAGGCCATGTCCCCCCTAAGGCCGCAGAGCCGACCGCCCGGAGCTGTGTCCATCCGTGCAGCGGCTGGGTCCTCAGCCACTGGCCCTCCCGCCCTGGCCGGGAGGCTGGGCCTGCCCAGCGGGGGTCCTGGCTGCTCCGTCTCCCAGGACTCCCTGCTGTGGCCCGGCTCCCCGTGCAGGCCAGAGAAAGCCCACGGCCTTTCGTGACCCGCCCGGGGCGCCCAGCACCCCTTCACCACCCTCAGAGAGTGCGCACCTGCGGGGCCCGCCTCCTGGGACGAGTAGACCCCGGGGAGGGGTGTCCAGAACTGTAGCCCCCATTCAGCACACCGGGACCGAGGGCCCCCCAACCCCCAATGCCCTGCTTCTGGGCAGCTGACTCTGGGATGCCCCTGAGCTTTGTCAAAGCCGCGCTTAAGGCTCCCCACGAAGGGTAGGATATTCTCTAGCCTGTCCCTGAGCTCCCTAAGAATCTCACCGTGGGGTCAGGGACAGGGCGGGGTGCCCCTGGCAGGGCGAGGCCCCCACCCACCCACACCCCCCCCGCTCTGGCCGGCCCGTGAGAGGTTGGCGCCCCCAGTGGGTTCCAGTCTCCCGGAGGCGGGGTCGCCTGCACACTGGACCAGGCAGTGTTGGAATCACGGTCCAGCTGGGGCAGGACGGCCCCGCCGGCCACGAGTCTCCACAGGGGCGGCGGGAGAATGACCCCCGGGGCTTCCTAACGCAGGTCTCACGCGGGAGCCGTCCAGGGCCCAGGCTGGCTCTTCGGTCCGAAGTGCGGCGGTGCCACTGCTTTGGCCGAGCTCCGGGGTCCGGTCACTCTTACACGGTGCCCTCAGCGTGCCCGGCGCCGGCCTCCCCAGGAACCTGCCCGCCCCCCGCCTCGCCTCCGACCCGCCAGATGGGGGCGCCAGGGTCTCTGGTCCCCTGCGTGGCCGATGCGCTGTGTCCGCTTGGCTGCGTCCTCAGCGGCGTCCACGGCCAGGCAGTGACCTTGCGCCCTCGGTGGAGGCCCGGGTGGAGAAGGTCCAGGGGCTGTGGCCAGCAGCCCGACCCACGGCCGTGGGGCCCTTGCAAGAAAAGTTTCTGCAAATCTCCTATGGATGGGACGCAAACCACGGCCTGTGCTGACGCCAGGCCACGCGGCTGGTCACTCGGGCTGCCCAGAGGCCTCGGGCGGGCTGGACCTCGCGCGCTCAGCTGGCAGCGTATCGCGCCCTTGGCGGACGGCAACACGGAGGGCCCGC